TTCTCTATCAGTCATCACAGCTCTTATTGTACAAAGGAAAACGATTATTTCATCAGACACGAGTGTGGCACATATTTTTAACCTCTTCGCCTTCACCTAGTAGCAAACTTTGCATTTATTTTTGGAGTTCTTTTTTCCGAGTATGCCTGTGTCATTCACTGCATAACATCTTTCACCAGACTAAAAAATTTACCATCCTCAGCTATATCATCGCGCAATAGTTTCACTAATTTAGTTCCACGAGTCTCCTATAGCTCCTATAGCTCAACCAGAGTATTCCAAGTACTAATCGGAAGGTCGTATGTTCGACTCTTTTTGGGAGCACTTAGTATTCTTTTTCGAGATATGCCTGTGTCATTCACTGAATAACATCATCTTCCACAATCTATTTCTTGATTGCATGGATTTACCAAGGTCAACCGACACGGAATCCCGGTAACTTGAATTTAAGTTTTACAGTTCTGAGCTCATGAATTTAATAGGAAAACTAACTCCACGTTCTCAACCAGTCACGTGATTCTTTAGCTAGACAAGCAATTAGTGCAAACAAAAATCTAGACACTTAAGTAAATTATTTGTTCATGCGCTTCTTTTAGGAAATTCACACCACGAAACAATAGCGAGTTTAAATTGGAACCGGAGACTTATCGTGGACACCTAATACATGGGGTGCTTACTCCCATCTCGTGAGAACATGAACTCTATTGAATTTAAGCCTGTATCCTAAAGTTTGGAATGCCTTAAACGATATCTAAACAAAGCAGCTCAACGCCTGCCCAAATGGCTACGAGGAGTGGCTTCAGGCTGAAGGTATACACAGCCGCACAAGCCATTAAATCAACCGTGTTTCAAAAGCGCTGGAATAAATGATGAAATCAATACCTCGACAGTTTTACAGAACTAAGTTCCACCACTATGTTGTCAATAACAACAGTATCACTTCCTTCAGGATCCTTCCCATCATGTGCAAGGTTGAAGGTGTTTGACATACTAAGGTGACCAAGATTTGCAACAAGTGTATCGCGAGACGTCGAACTCACAGGGATGATAACCTCCGGTGCTTGGATAGAAACTTTCAAGCTTATTCTTGAGCTTTGAGTTTGCAAACTCTGAATCTAAAAGTCAGAAAAACACATATTTACACCTAATAAAGTGCGTCAACCACACGGCCTGTTATAATGGCGTCACCCTTTTGTTCCTAAAAGTGAATAGCGTCTAATTTTATTTTACAGTATTTCCCTTTTATCAAACATCAGGACCAAATTAGACATTTCTTGATTTTGAACAAATTCTACTTGTCAAAACAATAAAAATAGTATGTAGAGCAGTGTGAACAACATAAATACCGCTGCTAACCCTTTAATTGCAAGTGACCAAGACAGAGTTTCTCCTCACAAATCAGTACAATATCAAGCATACAAGGGATGAGAATACAGGAATATATCAATTACGGGAATTATTACTTGATCTAATGCCAAAATCTCTCAAACAACATCATAAGAATTGCATAGCACACAGTAAGGACAATTACTAATGAGATCTGGGTGTGGAATGGGTCAAGATGTAAAGGTTTTAATAACGACTGGTGACTCACTATTGCACTGGCTAACTCAGCTGCAGTTTTTCTGGCATACTCCATAGCATCCTTGTTCAAAAAGTCCTGAAATAACACGGAGATTCATATCAGAGCTTGCAATGATTTCATCCTTCGAAAGATAAAGTGATCATATTTGCTCAGATAAAATTAACCGTACTAGTTACATGTAACTCGCAGTCTGTAAAAAAAGTAAAAGCCATTTCATTGCTCTTGGACGAGGCACACTAAATATCAGTACAATGAATAGCATTTTATCAAAATTAAAGGCCGAAAAAATTCCATGAAAATATACAACAAAAAATCCTAGAGCTTTACTAACTTCAATCTCTGCAACTGTAAGGAATCACAAATGCTAATCAAATTGACGTTAATAAAGTTAACTGACCAAGAGCTTCATCACAAATTTGTTTAGGAAGATGACACGGACACAACCGATTGCCATCTCGAATTTCAGATCTACAGCTTCCATGTCTCTAAACTTGATGCCGGCAGTTGCATTATTGTGTGTAATAACCTAAGAACATGAGGTATGGACCAACATTAGATAGTTTTACTCTTATCTTAAGTTAATAACAGCACTGGTTATAAAAGCAATGATGATCATGAAAGAACCCTTATACATTGATTGTCATACATCCAAAATC